CTCTTTCTGGTGGCTGCCATACAACATCAATAGCAGTTTGGCACAACCAGTATTTTGAATAACACATAGTACTGAAATTTTGCATAAATTAATATGGTAATACGGCAACTTAAAGGCATAGTCTGCCCCATAGTTAGTTATGGCACATTAGTTATTCGCACATAGGATAACAAATTCGTACGGGCATCACAGAGTTGACAAGGTCAACTCTATTTTTTTTCTCGTTTTTTAATAGTATAATAATAATAATAACAATAATTCGGTCTTCCATTCAAAAACTAAAAGATTTTACAATTCAATTTACATAAAAATATAACAAAAACTTACAAATTAAAAATTCCAAAATTATTTCAAAATGTTTTATAGTTTCAAAATTTTGAATGAAAATAGTGTATAGGAACATTCTATTGTCTTGGGAGACAAATGTCGAGTGCACCTTTAGTTTATTACACAATAAACGTAATAATATTATAATAGGGGTGAACAATTTTTGTTTCGCGAAATGGTTGTTTATTAAGAGAGCATATTAGCTTATATTAAGAATAAGTTGTATTGCGAAGCATCTAAGAATAAAATTCGATAATAAAGATTAGTTTAATACACTAAAACAAACCACAAATTATTTCTACACATAGGCATTTTCTATTTATTTTGTTAAAATTCTAATTATTAAAATTTATTCCAAAATACTTTTACTTGATACGCTTATCTCAAACTATAATATAATAAAAATCAAATAAGAAGTCATAAAAAAAAATATCAAAATAAGCTTCCTTTAATCATATTGCTCTTTTTACATATTTACAAATTCCAATGTTTACGTATTTGAAAACTTTCAGCAAGCGGAAATTTGATTTTTTAAAATGAACAATAACACCTTGTTCAGACTATAAGAGAATACTTAACATGTATCTCTTCTTAATTCTCATGTTATAGAATATCGAGTTCACAATACACTGACATGTGTTTTCAGATGAGAATTTTTTGTTACATACTAATATTATTTTATGAAATTTTTGAAGAAACTACCATTAAATTTTAAAAAACTTTTGTTAGAATAAAAACATGTTTAAAATAGAAATTTCTCATATTAGAAACTTTTTATAATATGTAGTTGAAGAATAACATGTTAGTCGCACTTGTTTGAAAAAACCACAAATATTATTATTAATAACTTGTAAATTATGTAACTATGACCAAAATCGCTAGATAAATAAATTAAACAAATTCAATTATATTTATGATTTAGAGCTTATTAAAGAAAAAAAAAAGGTGGTATTATTTCAAACTATTCTCGTAAAATATTTATAAATAATCCAAGAACAAAAACAAACTTTGTATATTCTATAAACTTTTTTAATATAAAAATGTTATACAATTACTCTTCTCCTTTTTTTGGGCATATAAAATTTCCAAAATAAGAAAAATTTAGAGTAAAACAAAAACAAATCCCTCTCGTTGCTCCTCTCGTTGCTCCTCTTGTTGTTTTCTTTCTTGTTTTTGTTTTTTTGTTTCACTTTTCCTTATATTCACTTGACAGTTTCAACCAGAAAAGTAGAAAATCAAAACAAATTTACACAAAAAACAAAAAATATAAGAAAAAAATTTATTGGAAAAATCTCCAATAATAAAGGAAAAACTTTCTGGTGTAATAAAAAAAAAAGAAATCTCCTCGTTTATTGTAGAAAAAGTTTTTCGCGACGAAACAATTTTGTTTTAGAAATAAAAATTTTATTTTAATTTTTTCAAATATATAGAAAAATTTTTTCCTTTTTTCAATTTAATTTTATTAATTTTAATTAAGAAAAAATCAAAATACATTTAAAAATTTTACCGGATATAAAATAAAAAAAGAATTTTAAATATTTAAAATACAAATTAAAGCAAAAAAAAAAAAATAAAGTGAAAAAATTTTAGAAAATTTTCGACAAATTCGAGTTTTTCCTTTTTTTTTGTGTGTGCCTTTTCCGATTTATACATTTTTTTCTCTTCATTTTCGTTGTTGTTGTTGTTGTTGCTGTTATCGTAATAAATTATTCTATATACACTCATATTAAAGTTCTGTGTTCCTTTAACATGTTTTTTTTTTGTTTTCTGTGAAAGATTTATTAAGAAATATTATTATACATATATATATAGTGTATAAAATATATTAATATATATATGTACAGATATATAACAATATGAAATATTAAAACATTTATAAGCGTTTTGTGATTAATATAACCTAACTTTATATACAATATATATATATATTATAATATTATTGAAATTTAAATAAAATATTCGAAATTTGAAAAAGTGAACAAAAAATATTTTTAAAATTAAAAAAAAACATTGAATAAAATTACTAAAGAAGAGAAAAGAAAATTTTTATTATTCCATACATCCTTTTTATACAACAAGAAAAAAAAATAAATTAAATGCAAAAAAAACTACCCTATACCATATATATATATATATACATATAAAATTTATAATATATAGAAAAGAATTCCTTATTAATTATAATAAAATATAATTGAACAACTTAAAATATATTATATATGATGATTAAAACTATATACACATACATGCATATATTTACTAATTTTCAAGCCTTAAGGAATTGAGTTTAAAATTTATGTAATACAAAAAAAAAATAATAATATTATATATATATATATATATATATATGCAAAAGTTTATAGCTGAAAAATGAATAATTTGTTAAAAAAAAAAGCAAAAAAAATCTTAATGTGAATAATTGTGGTTTTTATATAAAAATGATTTAAAAATGTGAAAATTTTGAATCGACTTACATATAATATTTCTAACTATATATAACATATTGATAATAAAATATATATATATATATATACATTGTAACACTATATTGAAATTCATATTTGTACACGTACAGATAAGTGTGCATTAAATACGCATATATATATATATATTCACATTTAAATAATGTAATATCGTAAAATTTCATTTATTATTAATTAAATATTAATATATCTCAAAAATTGATAAATTTTTTTTTTGGCCAAGAAAAATCTACTATATAGTAAATAATATAAAGAAAATCATCAAATTTTCTTTAGAATATAAAAATTATATTTTAAATATTTAAAATATCGGTTTCATATGATAAAATATTTAATAATTAAATAAAAGAAAAAAAAAAGAACTTTTTTAAATATTAAAACATAAAACATAATTTATAAACCTATATAAACATAAAATTTAAAATCTTCAAAAATAGATAAAACAATCATACCCAACAAATTTTGATTCAATCATTTTACAATTAACTATACATATATATAAAATATTGAAATATTAGAAAACAAATGAAATTATGACTTTTATTTTTCAAAATAAAAATTATTGAAAATTCTTGGTTTTTTTTTCGTTATTTTTCTGCTACACTTAATTTCTATGAGCAACATTGTATTTGATTTCGAATAGTTTTTTGTTTATGAATTCAATTAAAAATTCACCAAAATCAACAAAAAATTGAAAATATTATGCGTGTATATAAAAGTATAAAATAATTCAACAAGAAAAAAAAAAAAATTGTATAAACAAAATAAAATTTTAATTTTTAATTATTTTTTTTTTTGGCAATAAAGTTCCTATATTCAAAAATTATATTATAAACGAGGAGAAAAATCATATATAAAAAAATTTATAATATAAAAATTATTTATGAAAACCGTAACCAAACAGAAAAGAATATTAAACAAATGCACTATTAAATAACATTTTCATAATTTCCAATCTACAAAAAAGAAAAACAAAAATATAATTAAATTTTAATAAAAAGTAAACAATAAAAATAATATTGAGAATTTTAATAAAATTGTACTAGACTCCAAACAAAATTCTTATTTTACTAAAAGAAAAGAAATAACATGTAATAAAATTTTAATAAAAATAAAAATTTCATTTATTTTAAATGAATATCAAATAATAAAAAGAAAATGTAAAGTATAAACGCTCCTTAAAAAAAAAAAATAAAATTAAAAAATAAATTTAAAACAGAAAATTTACAATTCCAGTTCCATTTCTCATTTTCTAACCACCAAAAAATTAATTGAAATTCAAACGCGCAAACTCGATTTTAAGAAACATAGAGTAAAAAAAAAACATAAATAAGAAAAGTTTGAAAAAACAAAATCGGTTTTTCTTGTTTTTACCCAATTCTCCATCCAAAAAAAAAACTCAAACTCAAATTTTATCCCGATTATAAATTTTACTCATTTTATCACTGTAAATTCTCTTCCAAAAAAAAGAGAGAAAAAATTAATTATTCAAAAACAATTTGGAAGGAAACCTCAAAAAACTAGCAAAAAACAAAAACCAAAAACAATAAAAATTAAATTCCTCTCTCAATTACGTATAAAAATAATAAATAATGTTGTTTCTCTAATTCTATCAATAAAAAAAATATCAAAAAAAAAAAACTTAAATCTAAAATACAATTTAAATTTTTAATAAACAATAATTTATTATTGTATACACGTGTTAATATAATTTAAATTTATTAAATTTACAAAATAAAACATTTTTTTATTAAAAATATTTAATAATTTTATTGAATAAATGAGGAAAAAGCAAAAAAACGAAGAGCAAAAGAAACAAAGAAAATAAAAAAGAAACAATAACAAATTTCATTCACGTCATTTTGTTCTCACTCACTCTCTCTCTCTTTCTCTTTCCATCTAACTTTCTCTGCCATTCTATATATGTAATCAAAAATCTTCTTTTACCGCAGAAAAAAATTTTTATAAATTAGAACAATAAAGTAAAACAAAAAAAAAAAAATTGCAACTATTAAATTATAATTAGCCTATATAATAAATATTAAAAAATATTTAATTTTAATTGAATTTTAATAAAATTAATTAAAAATTTAAAATTAATAAAGTGATATTAAAAATATTTTATATTTTATATGCTTATTCTGGTCGTGTATTCATATAACTCCTAAAACAATATAAAATTTGTAATCGTGATTATAAATTAATTGTAATAATAATAATTAATAATTAATATAAAAATATTATTAGAAAATAAAAATTTTTTAATTACTATTTAAAATATATATATAGTAGGTGTATATATATGTATGTATTTTTGTGTGTTTGTGTCGAAAATACGATATTTTGAAGGTGGAGGGGGTTTTTTTTTTTTTTTTTTTTGTATTATTATAAAAATTCATAAAAATTACAATAATATTTTGTTATAAAAAGTTTTACTTTTTAACAAAATATCATCATTCGAAGAAGAATATCGGCCTGATAGGCCCATGGTGCAAAAAGCATCATCAACAGATGCCCCATCAGTTTCTGCTGGGGCACATCATCATCGTGAATCAACTTCACGTTTTGGTATTGGTGGTTATTCATCATATCAAGGTGGTTATAATAAATTATTTACTCAGGTTAGTTTTTTTTTTTCTTTAAAAACGAAAACAATTTTTTGATATAAAATTGCTGACCCCTAGAAATATGCAATATTTTTTAATTTAATTTTTTCAAAATATGTATGCAATTTGAAAGTTTTTTTTTAATGTAAAAGTACAGTGATCGTGACATTGATGTCGTAATGTCATGAAAACATCATATGTCATTACACAATTTCAGCAATCAAAAACTACTCGCAAAATTATATAAGTAGTAGAGTATAAGTAATATTTCAAAATATTTGCATGTCAGATATAAATATAAGATAAATAAAAATTATATTTAATAATTCTATTTCTTTAATAATTAAAACTATATAATAAAAGACAACAAGATTATAGAATAATTTAGTTGAAAATGCAATGATTATAAAATTTTTCCATTCTACAAGAATTGTAAATATGCAGAAAAAATAACTATGAGTATAAAGAGTTGATGAATTCAATATTATATACCGTCATTTAAAAAATCAGAAATGGTTAAACTTTTGTTTGGAAGAGAAGAAGGTTTTTCAGATACATAAACTTTTAAGAATATTTGATAAAAATTTTGTTTACTCACGTTTATTTCCTTACAATTTCCATCGGAGATCTAATGAGAGCTTTAAACAAAATGTTTTTGAAAGAATATCGCTTGATTTTTTATTTTATGTACTTTCGGAACACAAAGCATTCTTTAGTTTTAGAGAAATTCAAATTTTTATTTTATTGTTATTTTCTTATTACTTTGTTCTTTTCATTCGTGAGAAAATGAGAATAGACATATGGTTAATCTGGTAAAAGCTATGACATTCCATAAAAGTCAATTATTCTAAGATGTGTTTTTCTTTCATAATATCATATTCGTTATGTATGTGTTTTCGATATTACCAATATAATTCGTATTAAATTTTAGGACTTTAAGTTGGTATTATATGTTTAAATAATTTTTAAAATTGTATAGTAAGTTTAATTAATCTTTAAGCAATTTGCACTAAGGTTTCCAAAACTAATAAACCTAATATTAAACTGGTTGTTTTAAATTTCAGTTATGCGAAAATTCAATACCTTAACTCGATTATATGATGAAATAGGTTTTAAAGCTGTATGGCTGCTGAATTGAATGATTAAATAGAACTCTAAAATTCACTCCTATAAAACACTTATGAAAATTTTATTGTAATTTAATTTAATTAATTTTTTAATTATCATCGAGATTAAAGCAGTTAACTAAAAATATATTATAAGTACTTTTTACTTTAATGAATTATTTGACTAATAAACTTATGTTAATAATATCGTCGATTGAACAATCCCTTGTCTTTAAAATAGCAGTATTACGATACTAGTACACAATTCGACAATAATAACTTATTAGAAGCCTGGGGAATTAATAAAAATTATTTTTTGAATTCTAAATATATTTAAATGGCTTCAATCAGATTTGCAATTTTCACCAACACCTGTTATTACCTGATGATTGGAGAGAATAATATTAAAACATGAATAATATTGCACTTAATATTCCATCTTGTCATTTGTTTATACTCTTTTCTACATATATACAGACTAACATATGTACAAACTGAAAATTTAATAAATTTACAATCTCAAATATATCAAAACTCTTTTCTAATTTCCTTATTTGATCAAAATGTAAAAAGAAATTCTTACTTTTATTTTTTATACACTTAACATTTTAATAAAAGTTCATTTGTTCTCCTTTAATTTCTGTGATTTGATTTCTATTATTACATATCTCGTATATACTTTAAAATAAAAGCATTTTTGTATTTTAATTGTACACATTGTATATTTAGATATTTCGTATATATATAAATATATATTTTTTATATAAACAGTTCCTATACTCATACAAACAAACAATATAACTTTTGATTGAATATAGGAACTGAAAAGCTATATTATGTGAATTCCGAATAGTACATATAATAATTATATACATACATATTATATATAACTATACATTTCTATTAAAATAGCCATTTGCCAATTTTATATTATATACACACAAATATATTATATAAAAAACAAGTGCCTACATTTTTCTTATAATTTTATTTACCTTCTGTTTTGCACCTGACAATATATACTAACATATATTTATTTATAAACAACAAAAAATGAAAAAAAAAGCAACACAACACCTGTACAATATAAAATATAATATAAATAAAGAGAAATGCTTCCTTAAATGTTATTCTATAATGTTATAGCCGCCTATAACACACACCAATATACATATATATATAAAACAGGATTTGAACTAGTTCTGAAAGAGTTTTTAATAAAATAAATTAAAAAAAATTTACTGTAACAATATACAATCTATATATATATACATGTAAAATCAAAAAAATAAGATAAAAATCTTAATATTTTGATAAAAAATAGAAAGAGAGAATAAGTAACTAATTTGATTTGACGCATTATTTAAGGACGATGACGTATACACATCCATATCTGATTTATTTTTACCTATAATTAAATGTTTTCAGAAAATTTATCAAAATGAAAAGATCTTCCACATTGTGTTTCTACAAAATATAGAATTTTTATTCTATAAAATTATACTTAGAATTTTTTTGTAGTATAGAGTTTCTAAATCGTAAAATATTTAAAAATTCCTATACATATTTTGTATACAAAAAATTAAAATCTTTTGTATTTTCTTTCTTTATATCTAATTTCCTTGTGTAAACACAACTTTTAACATTCAATGTTTGACATCCGTCAATTATGTTATGTCAAATTATTCATATACTGTAAATATTTTTATTTATACCACGCAGCTTTCCAAGTTTTCCGAAAAAAAAAAATAATTTGAAAAAATTCGAAAATTGCCGAATGGCACTCGAAACTGTAATTCAATACGTGTATGATTAAAACTAAAATTTATTTTAAATTGTTTTATTGTTTAAATTACTCCAATTACACCAACGTTAATTATATCAATAGTAACAATAATATGATATTGTGTCGCGGCTGAATTTGCTTTGAGCAATACGGAAATCTAGTTCACAAATGGATAATACGGAATTTTCGATAACCGTATTCCATGGGCAGATAACATTTAATCACAAATACAAGACTTTACCTATGTTTTTTTTTTCGTTTTCTTTAAATTTTCACTCTGAACTATCTTTTTAAATTATAACATCAAAATCACAAGAGAAAATGAATTAATTGACGCATATTTTCACTTTCATTGAACAATTTTTTTATTTTTCATTTTTTAATAATTTTTTTTTCTTTTGTTTTAGTTTACCTCATACATAAATTTTATATCAAAATTTATTATTTTTTAGGGTTCTGCCGATTCAAATTACTCACAACCGTCATCCGATCTGTCGCTAGACGAGGAAAAAGAATCGCTTCGGCGAGAAAAAGAACGTCAGGCCTTAAGCCAGTTGGACAAAGCTAGGGTAAGAAAATTAGATCACATAGCTCTACAAAGGAACAATTAATTAATTATACACAAACATAAATATACAAATTTTTGTAATAGATTTATTTTTTTAGTTTTTATACTGGAATGAATTTATCTTTAATTTTTTTTGTAAATTTTTTCATTTTATTTTTTAATATATATATATTTAATTAATTAGATAGGTTCATATAGAATATAATTAGAATTATTAATTAGAATTATTTGATCCTATATTATATTTTGTATACTTAATTATTTATAGTTGTTTTAATAAGAATTCGTAATATATCTTCTATATATAGAATAAAATAAATTGATAAAATATCATTTATAATTAAAATTAAATAAGATTTCATAAAATTTGTATTATTATATTTATTTTTCTTAATTTTTTTTTTTTAATTGTAGAATAAACCAGTGGCGTTTGCAGTACGAACAAATGTATCATATGATGGCACAATTGACGACGACTCACCAGTGCACGGTAGTGCAGTTTCATTCGAAGTACGACAATTTCTTCACATTAAGGAGAAATATGACAATAATTGGTGGATTGGTAGATTGGTTAAAGAAGGCTGTGATGTGGGATTCATACCCAGCCCCGTTAAGCTAGAACATATTCGGATGCAGGTAAACTACATATGAAATTAGTAAATAATTTTGTAATATTAAATTTCGAATTATCATAATTCATGTTTGTATATCTGTAGCTAATGAAATACGTAATAAAATATTGTTAGAACATGTCCGAAAAATTCTAAAATTTCAAAATTATGTTAAAGACAACTACATATATGTATAAGTTGTTTATTAACATTTTTTAAAATATTTAACTAATTTCTTTAACTTCTCCAAAATATAAAAATTAAAAGCTCGAGCACAGACATACTCCATCTGACTAATTTGTGATTTAACATTTGAGAAAAAACACACAATAATTTCTAATTTAATTTTAATTTACCTATTTAATATATTTTTTAAAAATATATATTTACTTAAATAAGAGCTGCAAAAATTTTTTACTGCATTAAATAAATTTAAATTTTACTGCATTAAAGAATTTTTAAATGTTGTATACGAACTTTGTTTTTAAAAAAAATATTCTTTACATTTCAAATGCATTATAAGAAATAAAATTACTACATTGGTTGGAACTTGCTCCCTCCCTATGTTATTGATGTAAAAATCAAGAATTTAACATTTACTGCATATACATGTATGTAGTTATAAAATGGTACTACTTATAAGTCAGACAAAAAATTGTGCGTTTATCTGTAAGTTATTATGCAGGACATATTAAGAATATCCGTTCTGGATTCTGTGATTTCAATTATTTATCTTTCACTAAGATTACTGCTTTTAATAAGGTATTAAATTTTAGTACCCTTAAGCGTGTAATTCCTTTTTCATTGTAACGCATTCCATTTAATCTTTTTGTACTGTGTATCTGCACACAAACATAAAATATACTCGTATGTTATTCAAAATCGAAATTCATTTTAAATAAAATAACGTTCACAATAAAAACAATATATATATATATATATATATTTTTAGGCTTCCGCAAGATCCACTCGGATGTATGCAACAAAAGGATCATCCAGCGGAAATTTGGGTGGTTCAGGAGTACCAGGTGCGGAACCATCACGAGGTAGCACACCCCCTACACCTGGTATGACACGCTTTTCATTTCCTTATTTATTATAGTTATTTTTTATTTTTTTTTTATGTTTTTATGTTACTTTTTTTTTTTTTATTTTAAGTTTTTAATTATTTTGTTTTATTTTTTTTTTTAATATCCTTTAGTTATTTTTATTTTAAAAAGAAATTTACAAATTTTTTATTTAAAATTTAATTTAAATCAAATTAAGAAAAAAATTTAAAAAAAAAAAACAATAACATAAAAATATTATAAATGTAAGGTGGTTTTTTTTTTTATTAATAATTCAATGTCGTTTTATATATATATATATATATTTATTATATATATATATTTTCTTTGTCGTATATTCATATTTAACGTGCAGTATAATTTTTTTTATTAAAAAGAAATTTTTTATTATTAAAAATCCAAAAAAAAAGCAAAAAAAAAAAAAGTAAAATAATTTTTTTAATAATTTTTTGTACAGAAATTCAAAAACATATATAGAAGTAAAAAAAAACAATACCTATGTATAATTTTTTTTTTTATAAATGGAAGGTCAATGTTGTGTATTTTACATATATATAACTATTTGTATATATATATATAATATATATATTTAAATTTTAAATATTGAATTAATTTTTATATTAATTTTATTATTATTCTTATTGTTTTTTTATTTGATTAATTTTAAAATATTTTTTCTTTAAAAGTTGATAACCTTCTAGAAAAACAAAAAAAAAATTTTAAATTTTATAAATATTTTTATATTATTTAATTAAGGAGATTCGAATACATTTTATATATATAACAATAGAATTCCAGAAAGCTATATATATATATAAATATTATATAATTTAAATAATTTATTTATATTATATAAATTTTATGATCCTATATACAAAAGGATAAAAGCAGGTTTGATTAACTTTAAAGTTCATATGAAAAACAAAATTATTTTTTTTTTTTTTGATATTATATTCTATATAATATATAATAAAATTTATTTCTCATCATTTCAAATACAATATATACCAAAAAAAAAAAAAATATTAATTTTTTCTTCATAAAATCTCATTTCAAACTCCAAAAGGAGCCCATTTAAAAAAACAAAAAATAGTAAAACAAAATTAAGAAGATTTATCCAAAATGAAAAAGAAAATAATTTACCGTAATGCTTTCTCATTAAATTTTTCAAAAAAAAAAATAAATGGAAAACAAAACAATAATTTATTTTTCAATTACATTTATGCATTTCCCCCAATTTGCAACATTAATATATATTGAAAAAGTTATTTTAAATTTTAAATTATTTATCCACAAACATAATTTTCCATATTACAGTTATATTAGAAAATTTCCATTTGAATTTTTAAATGTCCTATTTTATAATATTTCACATCTTTCAATTAAAAGTTGATACTTTACTTTGTAAACAATCATACCATACCGAAATATTTGTGCTAAGTATGGTGAATTTCAAATGATTTAAAACGAATCACAACTATTCACAATTATTCAAAACTATTAAAAACGATGCGAAATAACTTAAGATGATTCGCAACAATCCCAAAATAATTGGAAATTATTTAAAACGAGTCATAACTATTCGAAACGATTCGAAATAATTATAAATTTAATTCGAAATTACTTGATACGGTTTTTAAAGATTCGGAACAATTGGCAAAATGTCGAAACTATGGAAAAGACTCGCAACGTTTCGAAACGTTTCGTCAAAATCTGTGTCCTTAAGAATGCTGAAAATAAATTTTGATTTAATTACGAGCAGAATTTCATATACTGAACATCAAATTGAACACTATTTTACGGTTGTTCTTAAATAAATTAAATATTTTATAATAATTAAAATAACTTTTTCAAAAAATTTTATAAAACAAAATACAGAAAAAAAAAAATTAAAAATTGAATTTTTTCTTTTTATTTTAATTATTATTTTAATTACCTTAATTTTTTTATTTTGATTTCTTATAATTTTTTAAATTATTTTTCATTTGTATCATATTTTTATTTCTTCTGGTCACAAACTCATAATGAAAAAAAAAGCAAAGCAAAAAAACACAAAAAAAAAAAAATTCCTCAATCAAAATTTCAAAATTTTTACTAATTTGAAATTTGAAAAGAGCACCCATTTTATCAGATTTTCAAAATGCATTTTTTATCAATTTCAAAACAACAAAAAATCAATAAAAATATTCAAGGGGTGTGGATAATTCCTCGCATGATTTCTTTTTTTTTTTAAATAAATATATAAATTAAATAATTTTTATATTTTTATTTTTATTAAATAAAACAAAATACAAATTTTTTTAGATTAAATTCTTTTCATCCATATTATTTTTCATTATGCAAAAACAAAAAACAAACAAAAAAAAATTTTAATTTTTTCTTTGCAAATTTTTTAATTATACAAAATTACATTTGAGTTTACTTATATATTAATAATTATATTCTATATATATGTATGTACATTGTACAATTTAATCATTTAAAAAAAAAAATGGCTTTTAAAATTTGTATATGTTTGTATTTATGTATAAAACATTTGATGTTTTTGCACGAAAAATCGACAACATTTCAATATTCAAACATTAAACGAAAAAAAAAAAATATATTTAAGACTCACGCTTTTTTTTCTCAATAATCGCCGTTATCGATCTTCTCATATATTTATGACAGTCTTATAGTTTTTATTGTGATGTTATTTAAAGAAATAATTTAAAAAAAATTTCACATGAACTGATAAATTGTAACCTATTTTGAAATCAATGTACGTACAATGCCAATTTATACGAACTGCACACGCATTGTTACTTTGAGCATTTCAAATCATAACTGTAAATTCTTATTTGAAAGTTCTTATTTGAAAGTTTAGAAAGGAAATTAAACTATAAATAAAAATAACTCTTCTGTTTTTGACTTATTTACGTGAACTATTTTGAAATTCTAATCTTATGTTTACATATTCTCTTTGTAAAATTCCTTAAAAACTGCTAAATAAAATTACCAAATTAAGATCAAACTAACATAATAACAATGTACTGTGCTTAAACAAGAACTCTGTGAGTAGAGTAGAGAATTTTTTATGAATTTCAATTACATTGACATTATTAACATATTGTCAAATTATTTTAAAAATTATTCATTTCTTACAAAAATGAGATAAACTCATAAAAAAAAGGGTTTATAGCATTTTCGTAAAAAAATTTTATATTTTAAAAAGGGAAATTCCTGAATAATAGTAAAGAAAAATATATTATATCTATATTTGTTATGTGAAAATGAAAATCACCTAAAAAATTTAAAATCACTAAAAAACTTTTAATTTAATAGAATTTATTTAATATATCACTCATAGTTAACGTACGTGATTTACACAAACTTTATCAGTATTATACTCAATAACAATAAATATTCGCAATTGAAGTTTCCGAACTGTTTACACAATACACTGAATGACTACTTTCGTAAAAACGTTGTTAATTCGTCAAATTAACGAAACTTTGATCAGAAAGGCAAAACAAGTTTATTTACTGATTTGTGAAGGAAACATACTGCCTTCAAGTAAATTAATATCGAGTTAAAATAATAAATTATATAATTTACTCCGTAAAATTTAATATCACTGTCATATTTTTAACCGAATAAACTTTTGACAACTAAAAAATAATGACAAAAACTGTAAATACAAAATTTTTTATATTTTTATCCGCTCTAAGGGCAAAGCGTAAACCCTTTTAAATCGAAAATATAAAAACTGCTGTTCATAAAATTATTTTTTGTATTGAAACTCGAAAAATATTTAATTACATATTTGAAATTTTCAGCAAAAGCTTAAACAAGATCACATTCTGAAAATATTTAAATAACATCATGGATTAAAATTAAAATAAATTCATTCCCAAAATATTTTTTCTATATACCTTTGTAGTTGCATATAATTTCCGCTATAATATTAGTTGAAAACAAAAAGTATTTTATTCCACGGACATGTTTAGTTCTTAAATTTATATTTTTTTAATTAATTTCATCAGTTTCTTTTTATTTTAATTGAATCTCATATATACAAAACTCATTTCTGTTTTAAAACTTATTTGAAATTTAAATGCAATTTAAATGTCATTTTTGTTTTTTTTTTTTTTGTTAATTTTTAAATTCGTTTAAATAGCTTTCAAATATAAGCAGATGTATGTTATTTTAATTTGATTTGCTTTTAATTAAATAATAGGCGCATTTATGTGAAAAATAAAAATAAAAGGCTCAAAGTTTTAAAGGTTCATAATAAAAAAAGTTTATTTCAGTTCTAATAGATGTCGCTGTTCTTCTTTTTAATATTTTTCATAATAATATGTAAAAATTTTTCTGAATGTTATGTACAGTAGAAAATATTTAAACAAACAGCGAAATTAAATGAAAAATTCAATAAATCCCGTAAATTTTGTTTTTGATTGTATATTAGAACTTTTATGAAGAAGTTTTTGTCTCATATTTATTTTATAATCGCTTTTAGTTATGAAAGCATGTTTTGTAATTTCAAATATTCCAAAATGTCATATACATATACATACCTACATACTACTTTAGTAAAGAAAGATCAATTGCATTCAATTTTGTATTCAACTATGAAGTGTGCACTAAATTCATCTAACGTACCTATATATATATATACCGTAAATTCTATATTTATTTTGAATTCATTTCATTTAATAAAATAAAATCAAACTGTTTGTAATGTTTTTTTTTTTTGCAAAAAAAATTCACACTTATTAATTGTATTGTATGTAGAAACTTTGAGCCTCATTTGCTTTAATATTTTTCAATCTTTTATTATCGATTTCCGCTTTCAATGAACCTTTTATATAGTTTTAAACATTCTGCAATTAAATATTACTTTTCTTTTAAATACTGTGCAGAGCAAAACAAAAAAATGTTGCTGTTCTATTTTGAAAAAAAAAATTACGTTTTTTAGTTTCTTAAAAATTTTCAAGCATATTTTTTATTTTAATCGAAAAAAAAAAAAAAAAAAAAAAAAAACAAAATATGGCACATTCTTAGTGAGTAGTCTCATTTTATCATCAAAAAAATATTCTCTTAAATACTAATGTCAGGCGATGAATCAGATTCCATGGGACCATCACGACACGGGAAAACACCTTTAGCAACACCACCAACAAAAGAAAAACGAAAACCATTTTTCAAAAAACAGGAAACATCATCACCATACGACGTTGTACCATCGATGCGTCCTGTTGTATTAGTGGGTCCAAGTTTAAAAGGTTATGAAGTAACTGATATGATGCAAAAAGCGTTATTTGATTTTTTAAAACATCGCTTCGAGGGTCGTATTATTATAACAAGAGTTATGGCGGATATATCATTAGCAAAACGTTCATTAATGAATAATCCATCGAAACGTGCCATTATGGAAAGATCAAATAGTAGATCATCTTGTTTAGCTGCTGTTCAAGCTGAAATCGAAAGAATATTTGAATTGGCTAGAACATTACAATTAGTTGTACTCGATTGTGATACAATCAATCATCCGTCACAATTAGCAAAAACTTCATTAGCGCCAACTATAGTTTATTTAAAAATTAGTAGTAGTAAGGTACAGTATTTTTAATATAATGATATTTGTAATATTGCATATATACATATATAGATAATAAAATTGTTTATAATATATTTTTTAAATAATTTTAGGTTTTACAGCGATTAATTAAATCACGTGGAAAAACTCAGGCGAAGCATTTATCCGTACAAATGGTCGCCGCTGAAAAATTAGCCCAATGTCCACCGGAAATGTTCGATGTTATATTAGATGAGAATCAATTGGAAGATGCCTGTGAACATATTGCCGAATATTTAGAAGTAAAAATTGGAAAAATTGTTTTAAAAGCTTATTCTTCATATTCTAAAAATATTTTTAATATGAATTTATTATTATATGACTTCAAAATTATATTCTATATATAATTTTTAGTCTTATTGGAGAGCAACACATCCACCAGTGAGAACAACACCATCGATACCTAGACCAATGCAATCAGAAGCTTCACCGTCGGCCGAAACCCGAATGGGTCCAACTCCACCAGGTAAGAATTATTCGAGAAATGAAATATATTTAATTTCATATTTGTTTTTTTTTTTTTGTTATATATTAGATTTTTAAAATTTTTAATAATAAATTTTTGTTAAGGGATAGTTTTGTTTAAAAAAATAAAAATTATACTCGTATACATTTTCATAAATTTAAATCAATTTTGAATTCAAATATTAGAATTTCAATTATACTAGTAACTAAAAATTTTATAATGTCCTAGCAATTTCTAGTATATAGTATACAATTTCTGTATTATTAAAATTTATGTATTTTTTTTTTTATTTATTAAAATATAATAATTTAGGCGATGCACAAACTTACGTGTTTATTTTTTTAATAAAATAAAATGGCTGCATAAAATGAATATTGCAATAATCATAACTAAAATATAGTTTCAAAATATGGAATTACATAAGTTCTAAAAGGTTTTTAAAAAACAACGTTGCGAAATTTATGATATACTCGTAATTTTCCAAAAAAAGAACTCCATAATTTCGGGCTTTATGGTTCGGCAACCTTTTTTCATTTTTAAAGTATGTTGCAGACTCTGAAATATTAGAAAAAATCGTGCCTACAAATTTTTTCATCTTACTATTATTATTAAAATTATTTTTATTAGCATAAAAACAAAATTCACAATGAACAAGTTTGGAAAATGTCAAATAATTACGATTTTGAATAAGGCTAAATAAATCAATTAGCGAGGTTGCAAGTTCTAACTTGTAGTATAGTTCTGACACACTGAAATAGACCGAAAAATTATTCGCTGCGATAAAGTGCGTTCAGAAACTGTAATAATTCTGTAATAAAGAAATTTTAGAAATACACTACAGAAATCTAATTTAATTTTTTTCACTGCCGCATGAGATTTTTTTCTTTAATTTAAAAATTAACACAACAATGTCTTTTCCGAACAACTGTCAAATTACAAATTTCAAAATTTGCAGTCTTTCGTATTATATTATGTTAAGTTATTATATTACTCCACCACTTAGAAATTAAAATTCTAATATAATACGCAGAACTTTCAGCACAGCCTGCATAAACGAAGACTCCTTCAAATTGCAATATTCTAAAACCTGGACTATGGAAAAAAAACTTCAAAAGCAATTGATTTAAATTTATGAAAATCACTTAACTATTTAAACAAACAAATTTTTAATATATTTAAAAAGAACCAAAAAGAAACAGATTAAAAAATAAGTTGTTAAAAAATGTAGTTATTTTTTTTTTTCGTTGAATTTTTTTTTTCTATTCATCAAATAATTTTATTAAAATATATTTTTATAAAGAAAACTCTTTTATAATTATAATTTTATATATATATTTTTTTTCCCAAATAAAAACGTACAAAAATATTAAACATTACAAAATATACAAAATATAAAATATTAAAAAAAAAATCTAAAAAAAAAAAAACATTAACAATAAAAAAAAAAGCCGATAGAGAAAATAGAGATAATAGAGAAATGAATAGAGATAGGGAAATCGAAACAAATGCGTATCCAAATGATAGAGAAAGAGATCGAGGTACACTAATTAATTAATAATTATTATTATTATTATTAAATTTACTAAAAGATTGAAAAAAAAAAAAAAAATATTATTTTATTTCTGAATTATTTACTTTCAATAATATTTTAAAATTATTTTTAAAATAATTATTTTAATTTTTTTATATAATAAATTTTTTTATTATAATTGCAATCATTATTACTTAATTATTATGATTATTTTTCTTTAGTATATTTAATATTTTAAATTGAAAATTTTCGTTTTATTCTTATTTTATTTTTAAAATAGCTTCAAAAATTTAACTATTATAAATCCTTTAATATATAATTGCACTTATTATATTAAAAAATAGTTATTATATGCAAAGATATACCATTATTTCATTATATAACCTTCCGAATCTCTATATATAATTAAACTGTTTATACAAAAAAATATTTAAATATTCTTCCATAATTTTAACTCCTATGGTAAAGCTATTTTAACACAAATTTATTTTCAAAATTCTAATTTAATTTTTGAGTACTGGTACTCGTACAGAATATGATGCATGTTATGAAAGTCGCGGGTCATATACGAAAATATCCTCATATCCGTACAATTTAGAACCCGTACAACCTTGTATAGTTTTGCAGTTCGTCAAAATAAACATTAATTCCAATTGTAACCTTAACATTTAAAATTATATTTGTTTCTTTGATTAATTTCAATTTATATACAGGAAATTACATAAATATTTAGTTTAATAAAAAATATCATACTTTTAAATTGAGACAAGATAGTAAAAAAAATAACAACTTCTCGCTTGATATTTTAATTTTACATATATACAAAAAACAAACAAAATCATTAACTTGAATTATTTTGATTGCAATCATTCAATTACAAACAAAATAATTTAAGAAAATAAAAATAAACAACGTTCAATGAGAAACCCTACAGATATTTAATATAACATTTCCTACAGAATTTGTATCATATTAAACGTCACCTGACTTCAAAAAGTCGGTAATGTTGTATTGCTTCACAATTCGGCAATTTATTTACTATTACGCAATTTCAAGATCATCAAACCTTTTCATTTAAATAGATTTCGATTTAAGTGTAATATTTAATTTTAACGCTTCTATTATTATAGATTGTAATCGTGTAAAATTTAGCTACTATATTAGTATGCTATTTTCACTCTTATTATCAATTTTCAATAATCTTTTTATATAAATGTGACGTTAAAATTTATTTTTAACAATATAGTTTAAAACTCTCAATATTATTATTGTATACTTTTAAAAACATTTATGAATAGAAGTAGAAAATTCAAGAGAAGAAGATTATGTGGAAGCTGTTGATGAAGAAGGTATTTTATTATTGAAGATATTTTGAAAATACATATAATATGTATATACATTATTGAGTAGAAAATACGTTCCTAATCCTGAGATATATACAAATAGTACAAGAATTAAGAAATATGGCTAAAAATATATTTAAATTAGTAATATTATTCAGATAAAAATAATTTCAAACATTTTATTGCAGCTAATATAACTAATTAGTATTTCCTGTTTAGAAAAACAAAGACATAAAAATTTTAAAAGCAGGATTATACTACTTCTATACAAACATGCTAATTTCTGCTAAATCAATTAGATTACGCTAGATAATACGAGAAATATTTTAAGTATTTTTAAAATTATAATTAAAATCCTTTTAAAATTAATGTAGGTGTACAATAAATATAGTTTTACATGTATTTAAAATTTATTAAACTGTTTATTAATAAATATAAGGTAACAGGAGATCAATATCCTTTATCTATAGCTACTAATTTTAGATTTTCTTTTACTACAAGCAATATTTCCAAATTTTATTTTAATTTTTTTTTTTTAACTTTATTAAATTATGCATATCATTGTAAGAATACAGTTGCAATACGAAAAATAAAACCTTGGAGGAAAATATTAAAATATACGCGCCTTTTAAATAGAAAATATTTGATGAACATTTAAATGGCGATCTAATCTCAATTAAAATTTCAATATTGAATAAATAAAGTTGATATTAGATTTTTATTTTTATCAAAATTCTATTATCTTTGGTGTCATTTTTATACACAAACATAATAATTAAGTTGAATTTTCAAATTCCTCTTATCAAAAACACTTGAATTTTTTAATTGTGACTATATTCTTGGATATTATTTACGATATACATTTTATTTTAAGTTTATATAATTTTTTATTTTTAAATTTTTATTTAATATTTAACTTGGGCAAATTATTTATACATATTATAATAAAAGAATAATAAAGTAAAATTTATAAAGAGAAAACTTTATATAATAAAATATAATGTGTAATTGCCTGCATGATGAAAATTACATATAAGATATTTAAATGTGTAAAATTTTAATAAGCTTATATATTATGCTATATATGTACATAATGTATATGTATCATACCTTTATGTCTTTATTAAAATATTATTTTAAGTATTCATACGCTATGTACAGTACTTTTTAAGTACATTCTTTAATTTTTTTTTTTTAATAATAACAAATATTTTTAACTATTATATTAAATATTATAACATCTCCTCTATTAACTACTATATAATATTATATAATATTATGTACTTATAAAGATAACTTCTTTGAAGAAAAGCTAATGGAAATTTCATATAATTAATAAAATAAAAATTTAGAAACAACTACACGTTGTATTGGTTACTAGTAATATAACTTACTTTGTTTGGAATACACTTATACTCCTCAGAGCTCAAATTTTTGTAATAATGTATATTATCAAACAAATCAACAATAAATTGAATTCTGCTCTCTATTACTGAAATTTGGTTATTAAGCATTTTATAAGTACACCTACTTGTGTATGTCCTAAAAGAATAAAATCATACTAGTGTAAATTATATAACAATAACAAAAAAATAACAATTAATAAATCTTTTACCATATGTGCCATCATTAGCTGTTAAATCTCATAGGTAATAAGAGATTTACCAATGTTGATATTCAATCTCCATATATAGTCTCAAATTTTAATGTTATATTCTTATACGTTTTATACGAGTGCATATATATACATACATATAGTTAACTAAACTAATAAGCTTTTGTTTTTTGTTATAAACTTGTAAAAATTTCAAATACCCCCTTATCTTTTCTATAATAATATTTTTCTTTCAGCTTTTACTCCTGATGATTTACCAGGGGCTCCTATCGGTTCATTATTATAATTTTTTTAAAAATGTGTTGAGCAAAAAACAAAAAAAAAAAAAATGAATACAAAAAAAAATTAAAATTTCATTAAAAAATATACGAAAAAAAAAATATAATATTAAATTTTATTTTACCCTTTTTGGAAGAAAAAAAAAAAAAGAAATATTTTTATTTCATTTTTTTTTTTTGATCAAATATACAAGGTGCATTATAAATATCCGTAATTATTTTATATCTCATTTTCTTATATAACGTAAAGCTTTATTTTTAATTAATACATACTTGTATATGATTACATAAATTACATATAACGTTTGGTTTTTCTCTTGAAATTACTAATATTAATTGCAATTTAATATAAAAATAATTAAATAAATTTTCTCTTATACTCATATAAATAAAATATTAGATCATTATTATATAATAATATGTTTAGGAATATTATTAATTTCAAATATTTTCTTAATATATTTTATTTTTATAATGATTAAAATATAATTTTTTTCATTACATATATTTTAAATTCATTAGTTACACCTGGAACGGTAGTTGTACATCATCTGTAAAATAAAAAAAAAAATAAAAAAATTTATGAAAAGGATTCGAACAAAAAAAAAAACTTATTCTTTATGCAGCTCTTCTTCTCTACATTTCTAAAATTTTATTTTCAATTTTTTGAATTGAAATTTTATTTTTAAAAAAATTTTCTTCATTATAAATAAACAACAAACTTTAAAAATCATTTCTTTATGCCTTTACGTAAATTTTTGTTAAGAAAATTTTATAAAAACATCTACAACAGCGATTTCTTCAAAGAAACATATGAAAATATTTATTAGAAAATTATATTGTACAGTAAATATTTGAATATAATTCCTAACAACTTTTAATCTTCTTTATGTCAAATTTTTATATATTTTCTTCTAATATTCAAATGAAAAAGAAAAGCTCTCGTGTAAGTATACATATTGAAGAATGCATGTTTTTTTTTTTTTTTTTTTAATTTCAATCAGCTTTTATGGAAATCCTCTTTATATATTTCATCGAAATATTTTATAAATTTTAAAAACCACATCAATATTCTAAATAATATATATAAAGAAAAAGAAAATATACCAGAACCCATAAAGATATAAAAAAAAAAAATTACAAATCAGCCTTCAGACGCGCTTATATACTTGTGAAAACCAACCATCACCCCTACATAAATATTTTTGAACCTTTTAAAGCTGGTCCGAAAAAAAATACGGACATTATTTATAATAATAATATACTAATTATATATACATATATATAAATATGTATAATAATTTATTTTACATAATTTTATATTTTGCCCTTAGTTAAAATTTGCTTTTAATTATTATATTTAATTTATTTAATTTATTTTCTTATTTTTAGTTTGGTTTTTGTGTTTTGGTTTTTCTTTTTTTGTATTAATTTTATTAATAATATACCTTAATATCTACACCTATTTTATTTAAACAAATATATTATATTAAACTATTATATAACTTAACTAAATTATATATACATACTTTATATAATCATAAATTATGCATGTAGTGTGGCCACTATATACATTAAATTTTTTTTTATAATTTTATATATACTAAAAATACTTATATATATATATATATGAATAAATATATGTGTATATATATAAGTATTATAAATATATATATATATATATATTCATATTTATAAATAAATATATATGTATATATATAAGTAAAAAATATATGTATAATGAACTTCTTTAAACATTTTAAAAAAAAAAATCCAACATATCTATATATAAAAGCTTTTTCAAAACATAATAATTAACATTAATGTACTTTATATATCTATATTATAATTTATTTTCATATTTTCTATACAATATTTATTTTATATTTTAAAAATAATAATACAATTTAAAAAACATATTCTAAATTAATATATTTTATATACTAATTTTAAAAAACACAATTTATATAATATATTTAATGTAGTTAATATTTTTACACAATTTCATTATGTAAATTTTATTTTTAACAAAAAAAATCTAAAAATTTATAAAGAGATTTATGGGTGATTCCTTAATATTCTAAATAAAGCAAAATATTAAAAAAATATATAGAAAAATAAAAAAAAAATTATTTCAATTTAAAAGCTAAAATAGAAATTCTCATAGAATTTTGCAATTAATTGTTATCTATATAATATAGTGTTTCTCATATTATATAAAAATTTATAAATCACTATAATATTTTCGATACATATAACGTCCCAGAATAGAGTAACATAATTTAATAATTTATATTAATTAATATAAAGTCAAAAATCTGAAATTATCCCCTAATTTAATTAAAATTCAAACTCTTTCAAATTTCCAATTTTTAAGTGTACATAAGTGGTTTTAATAATGTTAAAAGCACATATAATACATAGTATGAAGATTATTCGTCTCATTTTTCTCTCACAAATTCAAAGCTACTTTATTTTAATTTCTTACAAATAGATAATAGTGGCAAAATGGGGAACTAAAATATCATTTGATATTTGTCATACTTTCCCTTAAAAATATTTATACGCACAAATGCTTACAATATATACATACATACGTGAGGTATTAAGAAACGAATTAAGAATCGAAATGAATATAATCGGTATGATTTCAAAAAGCAGCCATAATTCTCTATATCAAAAATTAATCCAATTTTATTTTCATTTTAATCATTTTTGTTTTTCAAAGACTTCAATTCAACTCTTAGGTTTGATTTTGTTTAGCCAATTTATGCTTTCGCTAAATTTCAAAACTAATTTTATCTATTTCTATTGCTTTAATTTCTGTAAAAAAAAAAAAGATAATTTGTTTTTTTTTTTCTTTTATTTTAACTAAGAATTCGTAATTTTTTCTTTTGTTGTTGTTTTGAATATTTAATTTTATTTCAATTTTATTTTTATTTAAAATCAATATTCATCAGGTGCATCATATCACCACAGTCGACGTTCACAATCTAGTAGACATGATAGAGAAAGAGAAAGGGATCGTGAAAGAGAAAGAATGGGTAAAAATTTCATTATTTAAAATTTAATTCAATTTTAACTTGATTTTAATTTTTTTTTTTTGTTTTTTAGATTTGCATATGGATAGAATGGAACGAATAGAACATGAAAGAGCAAGAGAACGACATAGAGAATTAGAACGTGAACGTGAACGTTTACATGCACGTGAACGTGATTTGATGCATTACGATTTAAATAATGATGATTTATTAGATTATCCAACGGATTATGTTCGTGGTCATTATCCATCATCACATCATCGTCGACATCCAGTTGATGATTTTGATTTAATGCATGATGATCGTCGTTATCCATCATCGTCGCGACGTGATGATGGATCATTACCACCATTAAGTAGAAGACCAGATCGAGGACCATCAGACCGTGATGAATATAGTCCACATAGAGGCGGTGGAAGTAGTAGGAGAGCACTTAATGCCATGTAGGAATCGTGGATATAGGGGTGGGATCAGATCGATTATAAAATCGATAATGATCGCGGCGTTTATAAGGGCAATTACAGTAAGAGTTATAGAGATGAATTTTATTAAGGAGAAATTTATATTTATTAATTTATACATTTATTATCATTAAATTAATATAAAAATTAGAGAACATTTAATATAAAAAAAAAAAAAATTATTTGATTATCAAAAGAAAAATTTATATATACATATGTACATATTTATGTATTTTGTATATATAATATAAATAAATATATTATACATGAATTAAAATATGTATCTGTACATATATAAAAAATTCAATTTATTTCGATTACTTTTTCGTCCAAAATAATTGAATGGCTTTATCGCTTAACCAAATTTAATAAAATTTATATGAGTATATATATATATACATCACATGTATAAAATAATAATACATATATGTAATATACACATAAATATGCATATATATTTATACACCTTTAATGCTAAAACTACATTATATGATTTATAAAACTTATATATATATATATATATATATATATATATATAGGCAAATACTTTAAAAGGGGAAGAAAAACTAAAAATAGTATTTAATATGTATGTACATATTATATACTCTATTTACCAATATACCGTCTTTTGAATTTAAAATATTTAATTTTTTTCTTTTTCAAGAAAACCAAAAAAACCTACAAACCAATTAATTTTAAAGAAATAATTACTTGCTGTCTACTATTATAATTTCCAATATTTTTAAATAATTAATAAATTACATAGAATATTCAATAGTAAAACTACATCAAGAACTTTTCAAAAGCAAAATAACTATTGTATTTCATCTTTTAATTCAATTATTGAATAACTATCTAATATTATTTATTTTAATCTTAAAGTATGTAATTTAAAATTAAAAACTTATTTATACAAGCAATCAATTAAAATTTATGAAATAAAAAAGAAAAAAAAAAACTTAAAGTTTTCAAAATATTTTTGAAAGCACACGATATTCACCTATACAATATTAAATGGCATTATTATAAAAATATTTTAAATATATAAAAACTAAGTAAAAAATAAATAAAAACTAAATTTGAAAAAAAAAAGCATATAATTGAAGAATAATTTTAAGAAAATTTCATTTAATTTTATTTTATCAAGTGCCAAATCAAAGCTTATAAATATTTCTCCTTAAATATTATTAATCTTATTATATAATATATATATATATATATATAGAAAAATTGTTATTTTTTTATATTTATTTTAAAAATGGTGCATAAATTTCAATTTTATATTGCCAAACATTATAATTAATTTTGAATACACTTTTTTTTTATTTCATAATACTTTTTTCTCAATCTTAATATTTCCGATAATTAGAAAATTTATTTGTTAAAAATTCATTTTAATATTTTCCACTATGTAAGTGTGTATAATTTCTGCTTGATTCTTGTCTACCACATTTTTGTTTTTTTCGAAAATATAATTCAATAATTCTTTTTAATTATTTATTTTATTAAGAACCTCAATGTGTCTTAAAATAAAATATTCTACGAGTATATTAATTGCATAAGTGTGTTTATTATGTATATATAAAAATAAATGCGAAATTTAAAGAAAATAATTAAAAAAAAAAAGCATAAAACAAATTTTTGAATAAAATTTCTATATAATATATTTTTTAAATTAAAAATAAATATGCTTATTGTGAAGAAAAAAAAAAGTAAATAAATAAAAATAAATTATAAACTATGAATTACATATATGAAAATTTTAAAATATTATATCGACGAATTTTGAAATATTTAAACTTATTTTATTTATTTTTCAATTTAGATTAAAATTATTTTTCTCAATTATTTAACTTTTATTTGACAAAAAAAAACGTATTCTTACTTCTGTTATTACAATTAATTATGTACATGTTATATATAGATTAAATAAGTGAAAAATTATATTTTATATAAAATAATATCAATTTGAAGTCATTATCCTTTAATATAATATTATTACTATTCAATAAAATTAATAAACTGGTATTCACATTTATAATATATCTGCTTCTATCAACGAACTCACTTACTTTATTTATTAAATTAAATCACAAGAAAAATATTGTGAATATTTTTTTGAAATTGGAAAGTTATTTTATTGATATTTCAATTTTCTTGTTTTATATCAAAAAAAATTATACATTTAGAAAAATTCATGTGATTTAATAAGTGGGATGGTCGATGTCGAGCTCAATATAAAATATAATCATAATATTGAAATAACAAAATAATAGAATATTTTAATTTTTTTTAACATTATATATGCAATAACAAATATTGAATTTGTTAAATATTCAAATAAATAATTATTTATATTTATTTCAATAATATTTATAAAAAAACTTGAGTATACAATTTGAAAAAATCAATATTCAAAACATAAATTAACAATAAAAACAAAACTAAAATAAAAATCTAAATTAACTATAATATGTAACATTATTATCAAAAATAATAAAAATAGAAAAGAAACTCCTTAATAAAGTTCATTGGTATTTCAAAGAAAAACAAAACAAACAAAAAAACAATATGTAAATTGAAAAATATTTAATTTTTTTTTTACCGGAATTTAAAAAATAAATGTATACTTCAGAAATATAATGAATATAATTCTTTTAATATATTATATCAATTCTATATATATATATATATATATATATGTATATATATATATATATACATAAACAAATTCAAATAGAATATAATTTAAAAAAGGTTTAAAAATAAAAAATAAATACAAAAAAAACCATGGCACAAAATAAGGCATTTTATAAATTACTTATAAATATAAACATAAATATAGTTTTATATAAGAAATTGACAAAGAAAAAAATATAAAATAGAACAAAAAATATTATTAAAATAATAAAGAAATTTTTAATTTTTGAATGCAATCTACTTTAAAAAAACATACCATATGAAATTTTATTATAAAATAAAAAATCATAAAATAATAATATAAAAAAAAATAAATACATTAAAATTAAATAAAAAAAACACATATAAAAAGAATATACATATATAAATATATTAATTAAAATGTATTTTTCATTTGCCAAAAAAAAACCACAAATAAAAATAATTTTTAATGCAATATTTTCTCTTTAATTTAAACAGAATTCAGAATGAAAACAAAAGAAATTAAAGAATATTTTTTCAATTCATTTTTCATATTAAATTTTATAAATTTAATTTTATTGTTTATTGTAGAACTGTGTGTTCATATACCAAACAAAACAATACGAGTATAAAGCTATTTGAATTTATACAAAAATTAATATATTCTGTTTTGTTTTATTTCAATTAAGTTTTTTTATTTTAACAACGTAAAATAATATTTTCGTAGCTAAATAAATTGAAGCATTGATAATGAAAAACAAAAAAAAAAAAATTAAATAAATTTTATTGTAGTTTTGGCCCTTAACACAAAAATGTTTAATTTATGCAAAAAAAAAGTTATTTTTTAAAAAGAATAAAACGATTTTCTTTAGTAAATATTTTTAGCTATATATATATATATATATATACAACTTAAAAATTCACCATTTAATAATAATGTTGCCGAATATATTTTTATCTAAATATTTAAAATAAAAATTCAATAAATCAAATGTTTTTTGTTAATACATAATACATTTTTTTATATTTAGTAATTTATAATATTTTAAGCACAAATATATACACATATTGATATATTAAATTTTATTATAATATTATTTTATAATAATTTTTATTTAAAAAAAAAAAAATATTTAAAATTATTTTTAAGCATATCTTAGCATACGTTTATAACTAAACTACTTATAATTCATAAACTTTCAAAAATGTGTTAACTCAAAAAAAAAAAAAAAACAATCAATTTCGTGGAGCGAAAATTTTAAAAAAATATTTTCTAATAAACCTATAAAAGAATGTTGGAATACAAATGAATTTCAAATCATTAATGTTTTTTATATTTATTTTTTTACCTTAAAATAAATTATTGGAAGTTGCATATTTTTTTGTTTTTTTTTTTCGAATTAATACACACTTTTCGTAAGATTATAATAATTACACTTCAATTATTCTAATTTCAATTATTCATAAAATTGTTCAACATTTTTAATAATAAAATGATGTGTACTAATTAACAACTATGCCAATACACTTCCAATTTTTTTAATATTACAAAATAATATTTAAACACAGTAAAGAGTAAACAGTAATAAAAAAATATTATATTTTTGGTTGATTTAAGCAACATTTCGAAAAATATTAAATGGTCAAAATAATATTCAAAAAAAAAATAATAATAATAAACATAAATTATAAATTTAATTCTCCCCAAGTATGAGAATTTATTAAAAATTTAGTAAAGAAAAACGATCAAAATTAGACATTTCTGTGAATAATGCCTGTTATATTGGAAATTGAAAATTTTTAAAATAAAAAATGTTTTTTTTTTTAATTCAAAAAATGAAAAATAAAAAAATGCAAAAAAAAAAAACATTAAAATTTGATTGTGTATTTTGATCTGGGCCCATTCCTAAGTGCTCTCCGAACGTTTCCAATCGCCTCTAATTTTATTAATATGCTGTATCTAAAAAGAAAAAAAAATAATAATTTTCGTTATATAATAATAAATTGATGTTAAATATAAAATAAAAATAATAATATATTTTCTTTTCTTTTGTAAAGACAAACTTACTTATATTATAATTTAATTTTATATTGTTCACTTATAAGTATATATATATATATATAAATATATATACTTATATTTAATAGTTATTACGTACTAAATTTTCCTATTCAAAATTAGATTTAGGTTTATAATTTTAAAACAAAATAAATTATTTATACATGAATATACCATATACTTGTTCAATAATTCTAATTAATTATGAGTATTGTTTAATAATTCATTGTTCTATAATAAGTTATTTATTAAATGGTTTTATTTATTTTATTTAATTATTATGCAAATTTTAAATTTTGTACAGTACGTAAAATTTTATATCAAATAAAATTTAATATGGTGTTCAAAATGTAATCACTATAATTTTTAACTCATGAGATTTTTGTTCTTTTTTGCATAATGAGCAATATGAAAAATTTATATTTCGTTTCATGAATTTTACAAGTAATAAAAAAATCAAGATTATATTTCGTAACAATAAAATTATTTTTTCTATAGTTTAATTTGAGTTTAAATTATTTCAAAATGTTTTAATAAAATTTTTTAAAAATATCAAAAAAAAAAAATCTAGAAAACCTAATTTTATTCTAACTTTATTTAATAGAGTTCTAATTCTAATTTTGATAATTTTTATGTAGTGTATTAATTACAAAATTAACATTTAAGAAATTGAACTTTCAAAAAATAA